TCCTTAATCCATGTGCTCCTGACATCAACAATAAAACGATGATTGCTTTAATTTAAACAACAGCTACAAGAGCCCTGAGCTCTTTGAACAGGTTCAGGAAGAGCTGAGCCTGTCTAATTGGAAGTGGTGAATCCCAAGCTTGCAGTAATTGAATACAACATGCGGTGCCAACCTGGTTAGTAAACTAAAGAACGTGGACTGACAACCTGCGAGCACATACAAAGCAGCCCTGGCCTTAGGCCAGCGCATGGAGACTCAGATAGCTCCAGCACCTTTAGCTACTCAGACTGGCCTGGATTCAGGGTGTGGGGATACACCAATGGCAGTGATCCAAGCCATTGCCTTTTAAATCCCCAGGAGAGTTAGATGGACCGTCCAGCCACGGGGAAACAGCAGTTGTAAATAGTGCTGCTGGCATCAGATGTTCCCTGAAGTGCTGCTCCTGATCTATGCTTTCCCCTTTCATGTAGTTTGAGGAGACAGCAGAACATGGATTACAAGGAGGTTGTTCAGAGCCCACCTGCTGCTGGAGCCTTGCAGAGAGAGTGAGCTTCCATGATAGGTGGGTGGGCCCTGGCTGCTGCCAGGAGAGGCTTTTAGGAGATGAACGTGTTTAAACCCCTGGGGTGAAGTTAAATAAGGGGCAGGAGGCTGCTATGATAAAGGACAGAATATGGATGGGTGTGAGAAACCTTGCTAGCCTCCTCCAAGTGAAACCAGTCAGAGGAAGACATGAATCCCTCCCTCTTTCCTGCTGGCCAGCATTTTCCACTATATACTACTGCGGTTGGCTCACCACCACTGCCTATCTTTGATAGTGGTTTGGATTTGCATCTCGCCTCTACCATCAGACTCCTTCCCTCCTCCCTGTGAGTAGTTATCTCACTCACCAAAATCACCTCAGCCAGGACTTGAACCTAGATCTCCCACGTGGTAGGCGGGAACACTGCCACACAGCCCTCACTGGTGGGGAAGGGAGGGGAGGGAAGTGCCTAAGGGGTGGCAGGGGCTGTTGCTGGGTTTGGGGGTGTCATGCAGTCTGCTTCTCTGTCTAGAATGCAGGAGGATGGGGAAAGGGGGTGCAGTATCACAACCTGCCCCCTCTGTACTAGGTGAGACAGAACGCCCTTGGGGTGGGTGCATATCTCCCTGCCCTGCCTGTGTGCTGCAGGGGAGGTCCAGGAGTGGAGAGCCTACACCTGCTCTCCACTTTGACTTGCTGCCAGGAGTGGGTGAGACCCCACCTGAGGAAGTCGCTGATCAAACTGGACAGGACCACTTTCTGCTTGTCTGCCAGTCAGGTCCCGAACACCCAGTGATCGGAGCCCGGTTCTCGAAGAGTAGGAGAGAAAGAGCAACCCCACTCTGAACAGCAGGAAGAAGCAGGGCTGCCTGCTGAATTAAGGCACTTGATGAACCTGTCAAACCAGGGCTTTCTCAGCAGGAAATTTGCATTGGATCATCAGTTCTCAGGAAGGGAACACAGAGCAGCAGCAGAGCAGAGACAGGAGAAACGTGGTAACTCATTGATCCCTGACAACAGCAGCAGCATTAGATCATCTGAGTAAATCTGTATGTAAATTTTGTGTACCACATTGGGAACATTTTGACTTGCTCTCTGGCTGGACTATGCTCCCTTGAGAGTTCCTAGTGCAGCTATTGCACTGCAGCCCAAAGCAGACAGCCCACTGCAGCTGGCTGGAAAGGAAAGGTCACACTTGAAACTAGTTGTATAATAGGGATTAAGAACCCTCCAGAGACTTCTGGAAGTAACCTCTCCAGCCCAGTCAGTGTCACTAGGAGGATGGATGGCCACTGCTGAATCCTGAGAGAGATGCTTGTATTGCTGATCAGCGATTCTTTTCTTAAAAAGAAAATAGCGAACTGAGTTTTAAACCCCATATTCGGGGACAGGACTAAGAGACAAGGGGTTTTAAAGGAGCCAATTCCTTGAGGATGGGTGCGTGGGTTCCTATGGTGGGTTAAGAAGGCAATGATCAGTGACTAGAAGGGGGGGTGCATGTGTGTGAGAGAGGGAGAGATATGAGGCACATTTTTACAACAAAAAAAATGAAAGCTGGGAATGCCAGCTCAGTCATCAGAGGATGCCCAGGGACGACCAGTGTACATGGGAGCCTGTTCACGTGAAAGGGAAGAGAGAAACGTTCAAAGCTCTTAGGAAAGTTCTGTTTTGTCGTAGGAAATTCACGTGTCAAAGCTGATTGAAATGAATTGGCAGAATGTGTTTATCTCCACCTATGTAAATGTTTGTTTATTATATTTCCCTGATTTGGCTAGTAGGAGACAAGCCAATTTTGATTCCTCAGTCTTGTGTTCTGTCATCAGGCAGCACCTGCTGTTATTGGTTAGAGCCTTATGGCTAGTACGGTGACGGCTTCCAATGAAGGACATGCGGCTGGAAGGGACCTCCCTGGTTATCGTGTCCAGCCCCCTGCATTCACAGGCAATCACTTGCCCAAGATTCCTAGAAGTCATTTATTTCAAGCCCTCACATGTCAGGACTACGAGGTGCAGCACCTGAGACGCTGCCACCTCTGTGCAGCGGGCCACCATTCCAAGCAGAAGTGCTGAACAGTGGATGGGCTTCTGATGCTCCTTTGTGAACCTGTATTTCTTTTTTGTGAAGCTAGTAACAATCCTCTGCCACAGGGAGATTCATATTGGCGCCTGTTGCACACTAAGAGCACTGGCAGCTGCACAGATAAAGCCAGAATAGGCCTCTGACCATCCAAGTGTGCTGACATCTACTTTGAGCTGAAGGAAATCTCTGTATAAAATCTTAAGTCAGCCCCTCCTGTGTTTGCATCATGCCAAACGCAGCAGAGCTCTTGCCCATGACTGGGACACCCAAGGTGTAGCGCAGTAGAAGTGATGACCACTGTTATGAGGCAGTCAAGCCTGATTCTGATTCTACGTAGTAGAGGATGTTAGTGTACATATGTGACATGTTGACTGTTTCATTATCCTCTTTGGGTATTTAGCTAATTAGCATTTCCTTCTCTACTTCCCCACCTTTGAAGCTTCGGAATCTGGCTCCTGGATTACAGATTCCCAAGCCTTAGAAACCCCCTTTCAAATGTTAAAATGTATCTTGTACGTCTCAGAACCAAGAACAGCTTCCGTCTGCCACTTCCATTTAAGAGGTGTTGGCAGTATTTGACACGTTGCAAAACTTTTTATAAAGTGGCCGCTGCAAGGCCTTTTAGTCTCAGAAAGTACTTGCACAGTTTAATGAAAGTGTTTTCTGTTTCTAAAACCACTGTAGCTGTTGATGAGATGCAAGCCAAAAATATCTGAAAACAGGAGGATCCATCTTTCTTTCCTGAATTACACGTGGGCTCAAAGTCAACTTGGAAGCATTACTGTAGCTACAGACTTAATTATGGAGTGGCCATCTTCCCCTTCTTCGTAATAAACTCAAGACATCTGCAGGGCCAACCAGGGGGTCTCCACGGTACAGTTGGGTTCTTCTGTTATGTATTGGCTCCAGCAAGGCTCTTATGCTCAGCCAGCAGCACGCACTCTGCTGTCTTGTGCTGGTAGTTCCTCACTCTGCTGCAGCACAAGTCAATGGCCAAAAACTCTCCTTTGCTTTGATGGAAGCAGGGTTGAGCCATACAAAGCCACTCAAATGACTATCTGCTATCTCAGACATAGTGACTGCACTTATTTTCAAGGAGATCTCACTGAGTGGGAAGTTTGATGGGATGTTTATCTTGCTGGGATCCTATGACCCCCGCTGACTTCCTGCCCCTGGGGCAGGGGGCTGGACTCGATGATCTTCCAAGGTCCCTTCCAGCCCTAGTGTCTATGAATCTATAGGAAGCATCATTTTAGCTAGAGGGACGCAAGCATTTGTGGATAATATCAAATGGGGGGAGGGATTCCTAATGACAAATAATCAATTAAACAGTTTTTTGGGGTTTTTTTCCAAATGGTCCCTTTTGTCCTTGAGGTAGATCTGACTATTATGAAGCCAAAAGGTATTGGCAGGTCATTGGTTTTATAGTAGAAAGATGTTTGAAATGTTTGCTGTAAAGAATGCATGGCTGGTTTTGAAGAAAGGTATAAGGTAGGGCAGGGTGGCACTTTATGGACACATGCCTCTGAACCCATTCGTCTGTAAGGGCATCTTTACGCAGTCTCTGGGATGGGATTGCAGGGCATGTAATTAGAGTTACTCTCAGGAACCACTCTAATTAAAATGCTCGCAGTGTCTCATTTTCAGCATCCTTCGCTTCATTCTGAAACACAGGGACACTGAATACACGTGATGCTGAGGCTTCTGGCATGTGCTAATCGAGTCTGCTCTGGTGTGCTCTAATTATAACACATCAGAGCACACGTCAGGCACTTGTATAGGTGCCCTAAGTTGGCACCCTGCCCTTTCGCCCTTACTGTGAAGGTCACTACCTCTCCATGTAATTTACCTTCGTTTCCCCCTGCTTGCCAGTAAATTTATGTTGCCTGGTTCTCTAGGTTGCCTTGATATTTCTATGAATGTATCAATACTGTGTAGGATCCTGAAAGAAGAACAAGTCCATTTAAGAGAATTGGCATTCCCATGCCTGGCAGGACTGACTAGTCCATCCTCTAAATAAAATCAACCTGATTAAACCACTGATGCAAATTGGTGCTGAAAAAGATCTTAGTTAGTGATGGAAAAAGGACTGTTTCTCTTGTGGAAACCCTGTTCTGTGGGTGGTATGGAGGTACGTATGGTACTGGGAGTTGTCCTCTATTTAAAGAGATGCGCACAACCACAAGCCTTGCATTAACTCATTGAGAGTTATCATTAAGTGTTGAAGTTATGGGTAAATAAATTCTGTGGTGTTTTTGCCTCTGTATATGTGGCCAGAAGCCAGGCAGTAGTCTCATTCTTTATACACCTATTTGTAAATGTGCATGCCTTGAGGTGAGATTTTCCTTGCTCAATAACTCTTCCTGATCCTTTTTTCACCACTTTTCTCTCTCCTTAGAGTGAGCCAGACTTGGAGAAGGGCTTGGAGATGAGGAAATGGGTCCTGTCTGGAATCCTAGCCAGTGAGGAAACCTACCTGAGCCACCTAGAGGCTCTGCTGCTGGTAAGCATGGGGGACAGCTGTGAGCACAAATCATGGTATTAATGCCTCTATTGCAGCTTTCATCCTGGGGTTCTTAAGAGCTTCATAGGCACTAAGTGAATATTTTGCAGCAACCTGCTAAAGTATGAGGCCATCAACTCCCTTTACAAGTGGAGAAATGGAGGCATGGAGAAGTGAAGTGACTTGACCTGGGTCACACAGGGAGTCACTGGTAAACCAGGAAATGGAACCCAGGAGCCCTGGGTCCTGCGTGCTGAAAACTAAGAAATGTTGCACCTCAGTTATGCAATAGGAATTAATGATTGCAACGAGAGCAGAGGAATTGTAATTTTACCATACCTATCCTGGGAAGATCTATGAATTGCAGGTCACTGATCTATTCTAGTGGGAGAATTGCTGCTGTCTTGCTTTCAGAGGCAGTCATATGCCAGTGGGAATACTGCGCATTGACAGGATAGAAAATCTGTGCTTGGAAGGGTGTATGTTAGAACACAGCAACAAGAGACTGACTCAGTGTGGGAGGTAATGGTCTCCTTGATTCTCCATGTAGCCCATGAAGCCTTTGAAAGCTGCTGCCACCACTTCTCAGCCTGTGTTGACCAGTCAGCAGATTGAAACCATTTTCTTCAAAGTGCCTGAATTATACGAGATCCACAAAGAATTCTATGATGGGCTTTTTCCTCGTGTGCAGCAGTGGAGTCACCAGCAGCGTGTAGGAGACCTTTTCCAGAAGCTGGTGAGTAAACCCACCCAGCCAGAACTCAGTTGGATCTCCCTCTGTGTGTCCCCAGCAGCACAGATTCACTGCCATTCCTTTGCATGCCCAACACAGAAGCAGGCCTGTGGCTCAGTGATTCTTCCTTCACTTGGCTGCCATGGGTTAACATAACTGGAAGAGCTGCTCTCTCATCTCTCTATAGAGGCTACGTCAAGTTCTCACCAGCATTACAAACCTGGTCTCACAGAGGTGGTATTAGAGCCCTCTTACAGTGATTTAGAACAGAGTTCAGTCTCATGTGTTACACACCAAGTACCCTATGATGCTACATAGACCTTGGTTAGATGTAAGTGATGTGTTGGCTGTGCAGTTAGTCTGATTCATGCACTGTTGGTACCTGTGGGGTAGACAGCTTGCCAGCACCTCTGAGCCCTGAAAACTCTCCCCTGTATCTTTTTCCCTAGATACTCTCCATGCTTGACCTTCTGGTCTCTGTGTGAATGATTTCCCTTGGGCCTACTGGTGTTCAGATGACCTGCAGAGGAACAGGACATATTTTCTCACTTCCCAGAGGCCAATGATTATTTGTGTTTCAAGCAGGGTAGAAATCTGAGTCACAGACCAAGACCTCATAGGTTTTTCTGTAAAACCACAACAGAAGCTGACCTGGTGTATTCACAACCCTGCTAGCCCCTTCTGATTGAAGAGCAAAACCTGAGCATACATGGCTGTGTATTTTACTGCTACTGGCAAAAGTATGATAAAAACTTATCAGCCTGAGCACAGGACTTGCATGGTCAGTCTGACTGTGATGGAGACCGCGCTGATAACATTTAAGAGCACCCCCATCAGAGCACCCTTATCCTCCATTGCAGGAGCTAATACACAGCCTTTTTGCAGCTTTTCACAAGCCTGCCAGACCCAGTGCCAGAACCAAAGGGCATCCTTCCTTATTGGACCTTCCGTGTTGTCTGTGCTCTGCTACCCTGGTGTGGGGGGCAGCCAAGATGGTCCTTGGCCGCCTTGTGGGGAACAAACATGATCTTTCCCTGTAGCCATGGCTAAGGGCAAAGCCAAATAAAGTTGGTTGGATTGTGCATGTGGAAAGGTCTTTTCTAGGGAATTACCCTCTTTCTTTTTCTCCTTCCTCATGCTGTCCATCCTTTGAATCTTGTTGGAGTTGGCATAACCCAAAGCCACTCTCCAGTCATCTTTTCATGATTTGTTATGTCCAGCCCTAGGGTACTGCTGCTCCCATGTGGTGAGAGAAGTGCATGTGTTTACAGTGGTTGAAAAGAGACTGTTTGCACATTTCCCTTTGTTTCTGTTCTGCTCCTGCTCCACTCCCTTCCTTGTGCTGTCTGACTCCATCTGCACTGCTTGTGGTTACCTGTGGCTTTGATATTCTTCCACCTGCCCAGCCGTTGCAATTCCCCTTGTTATGACGCTGATGCATTTTGAAATCTGAGCTGAGAGATTGCCTCACAAAGCTCAGCAGAAGACCCCAATGTGTAAAACGGAACAGAGAAGGACAAAGCATTGGTTGGAGCCTGAAGAGAGTCATGGGGTCTTGAAGCCAGATGCTTAATTGACTGCATGCTGAAATTGTCTCTCTGGCCCTTCTGACCTGTCTCTTCCCCTCCCACCCTCCCCTCCCCGCAAGTGGAGAAATCAAAGGATTAAAGAAATCTCTTTTCTTTTTCTGAAAAGAAAAGACTCCACATTCCTGAGGTGCCTTTGATTCTCGGGACTGGGGGGAGATTCCATTGAGGTGGCTTACTGGATGGAGAGTACTCTTCACCAAGCTTTCTCAGTTGTTAACATCTGTCTGTCAGTGCATGGACTCCCTTCCTTGTTGGCTGGAGGGGTGGAGTGGGGATAATGTTCTCTCTACACTCCAGCAGCTCAAAACAAAACTGCAGGAAGCTGCCTTTTGCAGGAGGGGTCTGGCTGGTGCCTTAGGAGATAGCTGATGGTATGCAGCATTCAGCAACTAGCCAGAGCCGAAGGTCAGAGCCACCTGCTGCTGCTTGCTGAGGCCAAGATGTAGGAGGAGAGTTGTAATCAAATGATGTTTGATAAACTGCATTGAAAACCTAGTGAAATAATGGAGGAGGAGTCATTGATTGAAAGAGAGGTACACAGATCACTTGCCACAACTAGGCTGTCCAGGCAGGCTTCCACCTGTTTTAATGCCACTCTGACTGAAGACTGTGCCCTTCCACAGGGCTGGCTGGCTGAGGCATCCAGCATCTGCAGCGCTCTCCTTTTCTGTTCCCCTTCAGTCTTTTGCATTTGTAACAGTTGGCAAGCTATGTTAGGAGCACTAGCCCCAGGTCTGCTATATGAATTTAACGTAACGGGAAACTGGGCTAATAATTCAGTGCAGTGTTAATAGGAATTTGAACTCAGTGCTGATCGGTGTTCTGATTGGTAATGTGAAGCTGTCATTTTGTTCCACTATTGTCTTTGACCAGCTATGTTGTATTGGACAGAGCCAACTCTCTTTAGCATCTGACTGAAACCACCTATGCAAGAGAGACTGATAAAGCACTGGATACTGGAACAGGGTCAGCTGGGACCCGGGTCACATAAATAACAGATTGTTCACTTATGGCCATGAGATAAAACCTGATAACAAGGGTGAACTTTTGAGTTTTTCATTATTATCCTCAGCGCACTGATGACTGGAATGTAATTGTGACATCTGTACCACAAAGTACTTCAGACTGAAGCTGAAAGTGTCACAATAGGACAAATCCAAAGTTTTACCTAGTGTGGTTACATCTGCTGGTTGAAATGTGCCACTTTTTATAGAATATATCAGAAATGTATTGGGTATTTTTAAAATTTATTAGCAGGTTTTATCCTTTTTTTTAATGAAAAACTGAAAAAATATCAGTTTGGAAAACTTTTTGCGACCAGGTTTTGCCTTTTGAAAACTAAAAATCCTTATAACAATGTTTTGGTTTCTTCTTCTTTTTTCTCCCAAAAAACCGAAACAAAAAAAACCTGTAAAATTTCCAGTTCAATGAAACTCGCCATGATTTAATATTATTTTTTAGCTGTCACTGAAATGCCAGTTTTCAGTAGAATAGTGGTTTTGACCCACTCATTCAAGAGCGGAGAGGAAAGAGGAGGCTAGGCATCAATGAGGAAGCCAAAGCCTTTGCATCTCCTAGCTGGGAGCCCAGGACGTGATTCCAAGGCTGAAATGTTCTAAGTCCCTCAAATGAGCAATAATCCTTGCAACAGCCCTTGCTGGGAGTGGTACAGCAGTGTCGGTTACTGATTGTACATCTTCCACAGCTCGGATGCCAAAGCTTCTCTGGCATAAGTGAGTACCATCTCCTTTGACTTCATGGAGAGCTGGGCTGTTCTACTGAAGGACCAAAGACAGCCTCTTATCTCGGTGGGAGGCACTGAAGGAAACTGTTCGCGGGCTCTCAAGCATGTTGTGAGGGGAGAAGTGTACTGAGGGATTCTCCCAGTCACTCCTGGGAGGCCCCGTGGAGAATGCAGTGGAGGTACTGGCTGTGGGGAGAGAGATCACAGCTACTTCTGTCCCATTCTCTCAAGTGCTGAAAGGGAATGGGGCATATTCTGGCTGTGGGAGAGCTTACATCAGGAGAAGTGGAAGAGCATTGGCAGTGGGGACTCCTCCAGTCCCAGTCTCTCAGCAGAAATCAGACTGGGTGTAGGGGGGACATGCAGACATCTTAAGAAAAGTGCAGAGTTGAAAATCAGCTCCTTTGCAGGAGAGCCCATCAGTTCTCCTTCTGTTTGCTCTCTCCTGACTGTCCCCTAGGAAGCCCGTTTGAACCGCCAAGGTGTTTGCAGCAGAGCGCATGCTGCTGTGCAACACAAAGGTTGCTCCAGAGTTCAGACATGCTTGGAATTTGCCCAGGGATTTCCCAGCCTGGATCTTCAGCTGTCTGGCATGAACATAGCTGCTATTTACAAATCAGCAAAGGGGATCAGTACTAAGACCCAGCAATGAATAATGGCTTGTTATGGACTCTCAGGCCTGCCATATCTTTCTTCATCTGGCCTGGCTGAAACTTGTCCTGTTAAACAGCCCTGCTGTTTCCTTCCACCTGCCACTGCTGGCTGCGGCGTCCAGTAGCAGCGCTGTACCGTGCATGTCCTAGTCTGTCTTTTCAGCGCCTGCTGTCATAAGTCTTTGCCCATGTGGTTTAAAATGATGTCTGCTCAGGTGGATATTGGTTGATGTTTACTTTTCACGTCTTCCCCAGATACACAGAAGCAAACAAGGAGCTTGCTGGGGTCACATATGTGCTGTTGGTCTGAATCATTCCCACTGATTCATTTATCGTGGTTCATAGCCAGCAGCTCCTGTATGGTCTCATCTGAGCTGCAATATTTATTAGTAGATCCTCATCTAGCTGTTTAGAAGGGGGGAAAAATGGGCGCTGGTAATAAAGATGTGTCATCCTCCCTGACTAGTGAACTACCTTCTGCTGGGCAGATGGAGACATCATGCTCCAGCGGGGGAACGGAAACGAGACAGAGGGGCTCTGCCTGCTCTGTTCAGCCTCCTGAGTTTCCCTGGCTTGGACTGAAACTGTCTGACCTGTGGATACCCAAGCCAGCTGTCCCAAGCAGGCTCCTTCCCCAGCATTTATTCTGTTTGTTTTGCTTCCTGCAGGCCAGCCAGCTGGGAGTGTACCGGGCCTTCGTGGATAACTATGAGGTTGCCATGGAGACAGCAGAGAAATGCTGCCAGGCCAACGCTCAGTTTGCTGAAATCTCTGAGGTAACATCATGATGTTCAGACACACACTGCCTGGAGCTGATTATACCCAGCGATGTCACCCCTGCATCCCCTCCAAATGCCTTTGTGGCTGTTGCTTTGGGAGAGGCCAGAGATGGAGGCGCGTCGTGAGCTGTCCCATTCTCACTGCTCCAGCACTAGTCCTGGCCATGGCTGTGGCTGAGGGCTGGCACTGGAGGAGCTGAGTGCTCTCTGAGACGCCCCTTGCTTGATACTCCCCACAGTGACTCCTCTTGTGGCGACTGGCAGGGCTTTGAACTTCCCCAGTCCTATTACAGCATCATGCTTTCCTAAGAAAGCAAGACTGTCATTGAGCGCCTTGCGTCTCTGTTGCTAACAATGACTCTGACTGTGATGCAAAAGGCTGTCTTTAATGGCTTGCATTATTTCTGTCAGTGAAATCACAGGCTTCATTAGCTTTGAGTGCGAAAAGGGATAGCGCTAAAATGTGCGCTGTTTCAGATGACAAGTGTGTCAAGTGGGATCTATAATATTATTTATTAGGCTGCTTTGATTTCCTCCCCGTGAGTGGGATTCCTTGGGCGGAGGCACTATGCAGGCTTTTTTTTCCCAGTGCCTTGTGCCAGGAGCTCCATACGGTGGCTCCCTCTGCAGAGCCCCATGTCACTGACTTTCATGCTGCCATGATGATAGCCCTGCTGAGCACAGCTGCCAAGGACAGAACAGCCGCCAAGAAAAGGTGGATTGAAATAGCACTTTTTTTTCATTATCTGGTCTGAGCTAAGCTGGAGAGAATCATAGAATCATCAAGGGAGACTTATTGGGGGGGTTATGTGCACAGCTTCATCCGGGAACCCAAAGCTTTTGTTCTGGTTTTTTTGTTTGTTTTTTTTTAGGATAAACTGTTCTCAGCAACATTGTATTTGGGGGAACGCAGACTAGCCCAGTCCTGTGGGAGTCTGTTGCGTGCTTCATCTGAATGGGTTCCCATCTTCTCTGCCACCCTGGCTTCCTGTTGGGTATCGATCCCAAGCACAGCCTATAACATCAACAGAGTCCAAGCTGCCTCTATGTCAAAATAGCTTAATTTGTTACTAGAAACTATGGTTAGTAAAGATAGAAGCAGCATATTCATTAGTTGTGTCACTGGTAGTAGCTAGAGGCCACACAAGAGATTAAGGCCCTACCGTGCAAATGTGTTACGGTTAGGTTGCTGTTCCCTGAAGGAAAAGTGCTGAAGCCTTGGTGACATCCAAGTTTAATAAATGATGATGACCATGTTTTTTTGCAATCTGGGAATTTCACATCACTCTGCACACATCCATGCATGCTGCTCACAGCCTCCTTAGAAGTGCGGGGGAAGATGAGGAGGGGAGGTCATGGTTATTGCTTGAAGAGAGCAGAGGGGTAGTCATGGTCCACAATCACTCAATAGGGTAGCAGCAGTCAGGAATAGAAGCCAGGTGTCCCTGACTCCCAGTTGTGGGCCTCAGCTCCTGGACTGCATGTGGGGTATGACAGTGGTGTGTTTATCCCTACAAATGTGACTCTTTCTTCCAAGTAACAAAAGACACCTGGGTAACTGTGAAATGGTGACAGTGGCGTTAACAGCAGAACAACAGTTTTTTCCTTTCCTGGCTTGGAATAAAGCTTTGGCTGCTGCAGGCACAAGGGCATCTTCTCTTGGAAGGATTGAGGACGTTTTACTTACTGATGTGATATCCCTGGGTAATTCACAATCTCCTATGTGGGTTTTCTTTCATTCAGAATCTGAAGGCCAGAAGCACAAAGGATTCTAAGGATCAGACGACAAAAAACTCCTTGGAAAGTGAGTGATCCATGTAAAGAAGGCTGTGGTTTGTCAGTACTGTGGGGGGTTGTTGCTGCCATGCATGGAGGTCATATATGCTGTGAAATAACCAGTCCCCGACACTTGCATCCCTTCTGCTTTCTCAGGTGCTGGTGGTTTTATGGAGACTCATCTGGCTTTGCAGAGCACTTGCTTAGAAAGCTACCTCTGCTCAGAAAGCCTGCGTTTGCTTTACTGGCTAATCGGCATGCCTGCTGCACTTCTCCACCCCTCCCAGCAGTGGGCTGCTTAGAGAATAGTCATGAACTTGAGTATCCAGTGCCTTACCGCTATCACAAACAATTGACATGGAGTTATGTATTATGGAAGCAACTAAAGAGACCAGCTGAGATCAGGCCTTACTGTATACTAGGTTCTACACATGATCTGAGGAGCTTCCAGTCTAGTTTCATAGTTGGTAGGGTTGGAAGGAACCTGAGCAGATCATCAAGTCCGACCCCCTGCCATAGCAGGAAAGATTACTGGGGTCAAACGACCCCAGCAAGGTGACAGTCTAGCCTTGTCTTAAAGACCCCCAGCACCACTTTGCTTGGAAGTTGGTTCCAGATCCCAGTCGCCCTGACAGTGAAGTAGTGCCTCCTGATGTCTAGCCTAAATCTACCCTCTGCCAGCTTGTGTCTGTTATTTCTAGTCACTCCT